GGGGCAAGAGCAGGCAGGGGGAGGTGGGGATGGTGGCAGTGGAGCACAAGGAGGGATGCCACAGCCCATTGGGTCAGCCAGGCTGGGCACCACCACCTCCAGGTGTGCTTATATTGCCTTTTAGCACTTGGAAAAGCTGGTGGAAATTTTCTTTAAGCAGGAAAAGAGAGGATGCTTGGGATCCTCCCAGGAGAGCAGCAGGGACCAGCTTGGGAAGGAGGTTTGGGGCTGGGCTGTTCCTGCTCTGCTTGCAGGCACCGCTGAGGGGATGATTTGGGGTCCAACATCCCGCCGTCCTCCCTGAAGCTCAGATGAGTGTAGAGGGGGCTGCAAGGACCCCACACCCACCTGCAACATGATCTCCAGGCTGCACCAGCAAAGCCCCCGGGGCCAGCAAGCTGTTGGGTACCAAGTGCCCGTGCAAGGGGAGCATTTACCAGCACGGCCCCAGCCACCAGCAGTCTCCAGGATTAATCCTAAATGCAAAGTCCATACACAGCCAGCCCCCACCAGGACCCTGGGGGGTCACAGCTGATGCTTGGGGGTCTCTGGGGCTGCATCTGGGGGCACGGCTGCCCCCTAAGAGCAGCAGCTGGGGGAGCTCAGGCTGCCAGCCGGAGCCTGCTCACCCGTACCGCAGCGTAAATGAAAAATAAGCCCTTGCTTTGAGCTGATTTTCTCCTGATTCCTCTGAATGTCATTTGGGTTCGAATCCAGCCGCTTTTGGGAAGCTGGGAGCTTGCAAATCTCGACTTTTGAATGTTTGCAATTATGATCGTAATGGTAAAGGCACATATGCTTCTGTGTTTTCTATAAGCTGTTACGAGGCACAATTGCTCTTTTACAGCCATTTTACAGTCAGATCATCAAGCACAGGCAGGGGAATAAAAACCTTGTGCATGTTGGGCTGTAAACAGGGAGGCTGGGGCCACTCTGCCACCACATCTTCTATAAGCTGTTACGAGGCACAATTGCTCTTTTACAGCCATTTTACAGTCAGATCATCAAGCACAGGCAGGGGAATAAAAACCTTGTGCATGTTGGGCTGTAAACAGGGAGGCTGGGGCCACTCTGCCCCCACATCCCTGTCCCCCCCTCCCCCCCCCCCCGGCAATGCATTTAACTTTCTCCTGCTTTAGGTCCTGTCACCAGCACAAGAAGCCCAAGCTCTCCTTTGGGTTCCCTCATCCACTGAGCCCATAAGGATGTGCAGAGGGGAGCAGCATCCTACTGCGCATCAGCCCAGCACCCGACCCTGGGGATCCCTTATCCCAGTCCCAAACAGCGAGTCCAGGAAAACTCAGGGTCTCCCAGTGGAATGCTGATGTCCAAACAAATTTCCCCCACAGTGAAGACAAATGCAAGGAGATCCTCTTCCTCAGTTGGAACAGCACCAGCTTCAGTAGCCGAAGTTTTGGAGGGGAGCGGATTTCTCTGGGGTGCCCTGGGGGATGGTGGGAGGCACGGGGGGATGCCAGCACCCCACATAACCCCCAGGGATGGTGGCAGGAGCTCTGCTTCTCCTCTGCCTCCAGCCAGGGAATGGCATTGCAGAGCGTGCTGGAAGCTCTTCCTGACAGCCTCACTTTGCCTTCAGCTCTTCCCAGCTGACGATGTCAGGCATTAGCTGCTGATTTGCAAGCAGCAAAACCCACCCTAGCAGTGTTCCTCAGGACATAAGCAGGAGGTGCTGGCTGGTGGGAGCCCTCCTGCCCCAGCACACCCCTTTGGCATGGGGCATCCACCCCATAGCTGTATCCTTTCCTGCATTCACCCCTCAGCCTGGGGCTGGTCCTGCATGGCAAAAATCACTTTTTGAGGCAAATATCTCTGATTCCCCAGATCTTGGAGGGGCTCCTTAGACAGCTTTGGGGCTCTGACCACCCCACCACTGGCTTTTCCTGGGAGCTGATTGCACCCCAAAGCCTCTCATGCTCAGTGAGATTCCTGTGGCTTTGCTTCCCACTGGTGATGGTGATGCCTCTCTCCTCTTCCTCTCCTCCTTGTGCAGGGGTCTGGCAGTTCTGCCTGCCTTGTACCCTTGCAGTCAGCAGGGATCTGGGTCTGTCGGGCTCTCTGCTCTGATCTCCTCTGAATCGCCGTACCCTGCCACAAACAATCTGTTTATAGTGTCAGCGCTCAGCGTGTCCCTCCCCACTCGGTGTTGAATCGCCTGTATCCTATTTCTGCGGGCGCAGAGACACCCTTCTGTAGTCCGGGTGGCATTGTCACCACAGGGGATATTTCCACAGCATCCTCCAAGGCTCATGGCCAAAGCCTACCAGAGCTCCCCTCCCAAATCCCCATCCCCAGAAGTGCCCGCGGACATCTCAAGCACCTCCTTTGCTTTTTCTCCGGAGGTACCTGCCAACCTGAATTTTCCTATGGGTCCTGCCACTGATTCCTGAGGATATGAGAGGTGTGGGTGCCGGGCTATAGGATTTCCTTTGCTTTTTTTCCTTCCTTTTGGGACGCAGCTAGTGGCCAGGGCATTTATTTGATGAAGATGGGCTGACGGCTCAGCAGGGCTGAGGGCTGCAGCCCCTGGTGCCAGACCCTGCAGGGTCTTGCCCTGCGTGCCACGGACGTGCCGGAAGAGTGCTCCTCCACGCCATGCCCTTGGGTTTGGTTTCCTTCTGGGTTGATGCACGCAGCTAATGCCTGCGAGCACCTCTCCCTCCCTCCCTCCCTCCCTCTCCCTCCCAGAGACCCTTCAAATTGGTTGCTTCACACTCAGTGAACATCTCCTCTCCCCCTTAAAACCATTTCTTTTCTCCCAGGTCATGCCAGGCAACTGTTTTCCAGCAAACTCCCCGATTTTGGCCAGTTTTTCGCTCAGCCTGCTAACAGCCTGCTAAAGCCTGCGGGCCTCCAGGGTGGCTCTGCTCGCACACACGTCGGGAGCGATCGTCCGGTGCCTGGGAAATGATTGCTGGCATTACCTGGGCAGCCAGCAAACTTTGCTTGTGCAGCTTCTCTCAAGGCCAACACTGCTGTTGGCTATTAGCACTAATGACCCCCACGTCTGCAACTTCCAGCCGATGGGGCCTTTCATCAGAAAGCGCCTCCGAGATTCAGGGAAAGCACAGTTTTTGGAGATGCGTGGTTTTCTTCCGCCTCACTGGCTTTTTATCTCTTTCGGGAAGCTCTGGAGGCTGCAAGCTACCTTACTTAATGGATCTCTATTAGGTTGTGGCACTGGGGGCTGATCGGACATGTCCTGTGCTCCAGCTGCTCTCCTTATCCATGTTTTCAATGTCTTTGGCTTTTGCCAGCCTCCAGATGGGAAGCGGCCGGGTGCCTGCAGGGCCCAGGCTTGGTGACCGGGGAGAGGATATTTTATCCCCTAAATCCCTCCCGCAGTAAAACACGGCAGCGTTTCACCCTCGCTGGGGGAAAAAGCTGTTTGTGCAAAGCTCTGGCCCGAAACACCACGTCACCATGATGCACAGGGAGGGTGATGATGGTGCGTTTCATCCCCCTGTGCAGCACATGGCACGGCGCTCTCCCACCCCAGCAGCTCACAACAGCCAGCTCCGGCCCCACGTGCCTGCAGGAGGCTGCCCAAGCCCTCAGCTGCAGCGGTTGTCTCTGCAGGAGCTCCACGTCGATGTGAGACTCTCAACCTGTCACCTGTGGCGGGGCAGGTAAGGGATGGGACCTGGGCACAGGCTCATTCAGAGGGCTTCGGTGTCAGGCTGGAGGAGGCACCAGTCGGAGGGAGCTGAGCCTCCTCGACCTGTTTAACCTCGCCCCCATCACGACAGGGTCTCTTTGTGTCATTGCTTGCCCAGGAGCTGGGGTCTCCCATGCTGGCACTGTACAGCCCAGAGGAACCCCATCCCCGTGTTGGGGGACCCACAGGGCATGTGCAGGGGCAGGATGAGGCTGGATCCAGCCTCCCTCTGCCAGAGCCTGGAGGAAGGAGTGATTTGGAGGGAGACAGTAGGGATGCCGGATTTGGTGCCCTTCTCTGAGGCAGGATGCAGAACTGTCTGGAGATGAGGAGACTGCAGCCACAGCTCCCACGTGTCGCTGCCCCTTGGCCCAGCCACCCATGTCCTGGGCTACACAACATTCCAGTGCTGGGTGAGGGGCTCGATGGTGCCTCAGCTTCCTTCATCTTGCTCTTGCCAGAACAGCCCCAGAGCAAGGAAGGTAAATCCCACCCTTCTGGGGAGAGGATTAACACCATCTTTATTCGCGGCACCAGCCAGAGAGCAGAGCAATGGGTGCACGTCACCCACAGAGCTCCAGACTTCGAAGCCCAAACATGTGGCTGACCAGTGGCTTGCTAAAAATCATCGTGGCTCTGGAAGGATGTGTTCCTGGGGGGGTGGGTGCCGCAGTAGACCCCCCTTCACCCATCCTGCAGCTCCTCCTGTGCACAGCTCCCCTTGAGGGGTGCTCTGATGCTCGCATAGGGCTGAGCCTGCTGCTCTCCCTGCTTTCCTGCGTGGCACCCAGCTGTGGGGCTGCAGGAAGGCATCTCACCGCCCCCGGGGGCTGTGTATCTCCCTGCAAACACCCATCCTGCACCCCAAAGTGCCGCCCGGGAGGGTGAGGGTCTCGCAGCGGGGACGGGGGGTGCTGCTTAGGGGGCAGGCGGGCAGCGTGGGGCGGGTGCCACGCGTGCCCGGCCGCCCGCGGCGGCAGTCCGACGGGGAGGACGGGCGTCCTGCCGCCCGGTGGCGGCGGGGAGCCTGGCAGAGGACTCGGTGAAGGACCTTCTCCGGTTTCCTCGGGAGGCTGGCAGGCGGCGGGGGAGCCGAGCCCCCCGCGCCTCGCTGGCCGCGCCGGCTCCCTCCTCCCGCCCTCCTCCTCCTCCTCCTCCTCCTTCCCCTCCTCCTGCTCCTCCCGCCCCGGTACGAAGGGGTTTTCGCCGCTTTTCCCTTTTCTTGCCTCCCCTCTCTCCTCCGCGGAGCGCGGTGCGGGGAGGCGCGGGCAGAGGCGCGGGGATGGGGCGGCCGCCGGTCCCCAGCCCTCCCGCCCGTTCCCGCCGCCCGCCGCCGCGTCCCCTCCCCGGCCGGCGGGAGGCGGCGGCTCTTCCCCGCCGCCCGCCTCGCCTCCTGCTCTGAATTTCTGCTCCTCGGCCGATCTGGAGAGAGACGGGGAGGGGGTACGTCCCCTCGCACTTTTTTTTCCCCTCGGTTATTTTTTCCCCATCCCTTTTATATATTTTTTTTTGCTTTCCCCCCCCATCACCCTCCCTTCCTCCAGCCCGTTTCTCCTCCGCCGGGGCTCTTCGGCGGCCATGCGGCCGGTCCCGGGCGAGCGTCTCTAACTCGCCCCCTCGCCCGGATGGCCCCCCGGAGCCGCGGGCGGATGGAGCCGAGCTACGTCGTGGGTATCTGCTGCCTGGTGCTGCTGGAGCCGGGGCGGGTGTGGAGCGGGGAGCCCGGCACCGGGGCGCCCGGTGAGAGCGGCAACGCCAGCCAGGCACCGCCGGCGGAGAGCACGGCCCCCGCGCCCACCGGGGCGGCACCGGCGGGGGGGGACCGCTGCCGCGGTTACTACGACGTGATGGGGCAGTGGGACCCACCGTTCAACTGCAACGCCGGCATCTACCAGTACTGCTGCGGGACCTGCGGGTACCGCTTCTGCTGCCAGTTCAAGCCCGGGCGGCTGGACCAGAGCGGCTGCTCCAACTACGACACCCCCAATTGGGTCAACACGGGCCAGCCACCCGCCCGGGTGGACGAGACCCCCGAGGACCCCACTCGAGACAAGACCAACATGATCGTCTACATCATCTGCGGCGTGGTGGCCATCATGGTGCTGGTGGGCATCTTCACCAAGCTGGGCCTGGAGAAGGCACAGGGTCCCCAGACGGAGATGACCGTCTCCAGGTAAAGGGGTCTGGTCCCCCCACTCGCCCTGCTCGGTTCCCCCCGTGGGTGGCAGCCCACATCCCCAGCCACTTGCATAGGGTGAGCCCTGGGTTGACCCTGGGGCTGCCAAGAGGGTGAGGTGATCCCCAAAACCTCCATCCCAGCATGCTGAGACACTGGCAGGGGGAATGTTGGCTGCAGCCCCCCAACCTCCCCCAGCGGGGAGGGCTCCCGGTCAGAAGAGCCTCCAAGAGAAGGGGTGATTGCACACCCATCCCCTCTCAAAATGACCTGCTGCGTCCCTGGAGGAGGCCTGTCCCAGGCTCAGGAGAACCGTCCCCGCCACAAGTGGGGTGGGCAACGTGTCAGCCATAGGACGTGGCTCCCCCCCCCCTGCTGAAAGCTGTGGTTCCCGGTGTGCGGGGGAGGCGAGGTGGGGTCTGGTTGTGCGTGGAGTGACTCGGGACCGCAGTCCCCTTGGGCTCAGCCTCGCCGGCGGTGCAGGGGGAGAGGAGACGGCAAAGACAGCTCTGCCGTAACTGCTGCGCCTCCTCGGTGTGCGTGTGCACGTGTGTGCACACACGTGTGTGTGTGTGTGTACATGGGTGTGCATGGAAGCCTGTCTCTCTGCGCCAGGGTGGGACATCGCCCTTGCAGGGGGGCACGGGGCTGTGTGTCCCCCCGGGCTTGGCCTCCAGCAGAAAGCTGGGCAGCCTCTCCCCGTTCCCCACACCCTGCGGCTCCAGCCCCTGGCTTTTCAGCCCCCTCCCAGGGCTGAGTGTGAGGCTGGTGGGGGCAGGTTGGGGTGTTAGTCACATCTCGGCATCGGGGACCCTCTGTGCCATGCCCCACTCCCATCCGGCCCCCATGGCTGTCGGTGCACCTTCCCCTTTCCCTCCCACACCAGTCCTGGCCACAGGTACACGCTTCTCCACCCCATTTCTCCCCACCCCTTGCTGCACGGCCTCCCTCCGCATCCGACTTCCAACTCTGAGGTGTCACGAGTGGTCCAGCCTCAGCCCTGCAGGGTGCACCACCAGCTTCCCCAGGGGCAGTGGAGTCCTGTGCCCGACGGTGGGGCACATAGGGACAGGCAGGAGGGGCAGGTGACACCACCATCCCCTCGCCTGGGGTGGGGAAGGGCAGGGCCAGGCAGGCAGGACATGGCAGGACACACAGGCAAAGCCAGGCAAGGGAGGGCAGGGCTGGTGTCCCCCGACCTGGTGGCGGCTCTGCTGCCTTGCTGTCCCCTCGGTGTCGTGTTGTACAGCTCCTCCGCTTAGGTAGATTTTTTTTCTCTCCCTCCTTTTTTTTTTTTATTTTTCTTTCTTTTTTTTTTTTTTTACCGGTCACATTCAATGAGTTTAACACTTCGGAGTGGCTGCCGGCAGCTCCAGCCTCCCCGGCACAGCTCTGCCCCTGCGGCTCTGACTCAGAGCTGTCCCTCCTCGGCCTCCCCTTGGTGCACACGCCATGCACACACACACACACGCGTGTGCACACGCACAGACACAGAGGAGCGGAGCCGGGGCTGATTCACCAAGGTGGTGGTGTCGTGGTCGTCCCCTGAATCGAAGGGGGAGGGATGGAGGGCTGCAGGGGCAGAGAGAGGGACCAGGGGCTGATCTGGATCCAGCACCTCACCGAGCAGTGGTGTGCACGCTCTACTTCGCGTCTTCCCAGTAAGGACATTCAGCCTGGCCATAAACCCATTTTTATGCCATTTTGTTCAGGGATTTTAGCTGTAAAAAAGCAGGACTGGAGGAAATTATTTCACCGGGACCGTCAGAGAGCTGCCCTGATTGCAGCCCCCCGGTACAGACATCCTCTCTCCCTCCCCTTGGGTGCCTGCCTCCCCCTGCCTGCCTGGGGCTTGAGTGCCCACTGGGTGCTGCACCCCCAACTCTGGACCTGCTGCATCTCGTTCTCAGACCCACCCTGCTCCTTGCACCCACTCAGAGGAGCTGAGGCTGGCTCCCCTGCTTGAAGGAGGGTCGTATCTGAGCATGGATGGGGGTCGTAGGGCCCCTCTGAGCCATGCGAGGCAGTTTTGGAGGGATCTATGCTGCAGACCCCACTTGGCTGAGTGCCGCCGCGTGCCCACGCCTCCCCTCCGCCTTGCCTGAGGAAGAGCTGGCACCTTGACAGGATCAATACGGCCTCCGCCAGCCTCCCTGCCTCTCGACTCCCCTTCCACTCGCCCGCCGACACATCTTTTTTTGGTGTGTCCCCCCCCGCCTTCCTGAGAAGGAGACACTGCGCTTGGGGAGGGGTTGGTACCCGGGGAGCCTGGACCTGGGTCCTCATTCCCCTGACAGTGGGTCTTGGGGGGGATTGCTGCCACTCACCGGGGGGCTTTTCTGGGGGTAGCCTCAATTCTGTGCTGCCGGAGCCATGTGTTACCCCATCCCTCCCCCCCACCTCTGGCTCATGCAAGTCTGAACTTTCCCAGTGATTTTGGGGATATTGGTGCCTTTTCTCCCCAAAGCCACAGATCTTTCAGGCACTGGCGTAGAGACAAGGAGAAGGCGAATTTTCCTTGCCTGCCTTTGTGGGACAAAATCAGAAGGGCACCTCCATTACTGCAGAAGCCAGGAGAGGTCTCACTGTCTCCCGTGCCCCGTGTCCTTCTGCGTAAGCCGTGAGAGGCTCCAGTTCCACGGGGATGGTGACTGGCAAGGAGCAGCTTGGCCAGCCGGTGAGCCAGGGCAGGGCAGTGCATCAGGTACAGAGCCACGGGCACTGGGCAAGGCATCATCCCAGCATGGCCTCCTGGGTGCTGGGCTGATGGAGGTGGTGCCCAGGGCTGGGTATGTGGGCACAGGCATCCGACAAGGGATGCTGTCACCTCCATCCCACTGTGCGCCCGGTTGGCCCGGGCAATAGGTTTCGTCTCGGCGCTGCCGAGAGAGCAGGGTTATTTCTGTCTGTCTCGTCCCTGTACCCACGCACGGCACAAAGCATGGGCAGTGCCACCTCGCCTCCCTCCCAGTGCCTCAGGTAGGAGCTTCTCATTTGCTCCTCGGGCACCGCATCGTGGCCTCGGGCCAGCTCCCTGTTGCATGGCCGGCTTGGTTTCCATTCCCATCCCTCCCTCCCGCCGGGGTTTTTCCGCTCCTTGGAGCGCTGCCCGCTGCCCCGGGACGGCTCCTGCCGCCTCTGCTTGCAGGCTTCCCACTTGGGGGGACAATCAACCACTTCTGTCCATCCAGACGTCATTTGTCATGGTCCTGATCCTGGTCTGAGCCTGGGGAGAGCAACCAGGCATAGAAACCCCACCAGCTCCTCCCAGATGGAGACACCTGAACCCTCGTCCAGCTTGTCCCGAGATCCCAGTGCCTCGGCCGCCTCCAAAACAGCTTTTCCTCCCAGTTTTGGCTGCTGGCTCACCCAGGGGAGCGGGTGCCCGAGCAGCTCAAGCTACCTGGTGTGTCCCCCCTCTCCCCATCCGCCTTCCTCCCGCAAGGCCTTATGGTGGCTCCCGCAAACCCTCTCCTTCCTGTTCGGCTCGCGCTTGGCACCCGTCCCCGGCACTCGCTCAGCCTGGCCAAACCCCGCGTTGAGTCAGAAACACCTGCCCGTGTTTTTCTTCAGGCCCCGGATCTCCGGGGACATCGGGTCCCTGCGGGAAGCCGGAATCTGGCTGCGCCCGTCGCATGAGAGCAGACCTACCCCCAAAACCCTCCTCAGGGGGACTGGAGGTTATGGCTGGGGTGAACATCGCTATGGGAAGAGTTGGACGAGGAGTAGCCTCCCGGGGGGGCAGCGGGATGCTGGAGAGAGGCAAAACAGCCAGCGGGAGCAGGTGACCTGGGAGCTGCAGCAGCCAAACCCCCGATGCTGGCTTTTCGCTCTCTGAGTCCTCCTGTGCTCTTTGGGGTCTCAAAACCTGGTCCCGCTGCACGTCTGACTGTGCTGGGTGCTTCTCTGGCATCTCTCCGGTCGGCAGCCGTGCCTGTGGTCAATGCCCATGTTAGCACACGGCAGCAAAGACCTAGAAAAGGTGTTTGCAGGCAGCACAGTGAGTCGTCATTTGCCACCCTGGCTCTCCGGGGGATGAGAGATGACCTAGCTCTGGCAGGGAGGGGGACCCGGTCCCCTGTCCCAGAGTGGACACAGTGTCCAGTCAGGCAGGCTGACTCCCACTCTCCAATGCTTTGCACAAGCTCCATCTTCCTCCTCTGCAAGTCATTTTGCAATGGTACCTTGGTACCCTCAAGCCTTCCTGACTGTCCCTGAGCATCCCAGCCCCTCTGGGTGGGTGTCCCACCATGCTCCTGCTGCTCAGTTGCACAGAGGAGCACCCAGTGCCCCAGGGAGGTGCACCATAGGCCATGGGAAATGTCCCCCCCAGGAGGTGATGGCAACACCCTCCCTGGATGCAGAGGCAGCATGGCTGGCCAGGGTGCCAGCCCACCCGCAGCCATGGCATGCCATGTATCTCCTCCGCCACAGCTCCAAACCTCACCGTCCCGCTCAGCCAGCGGCTGCCACCTTCTGCTTCCCCTCCAAGGGTTCACTGCAGCTTGGGGCAATGTCACTTTGCCCGTCACTCCATCATCTCTCCTCCAGCAGCTGCATTCCTGTCTCCTCCCATCGTTTCCTGTCCCCTTACCCAGGGCTTGCAGCCTCTCTCCCGTTGGGCTTGGTGGGCGTGGGGCTTGGGCCTCCCAAAAGTGGGCCAGTCCCCAGGCTGGGGTGCTCTGCCAGGCCCTGCGTCTCACTTCCACACAGGTACCTCCATTTCATGCACTGGTGGCTCCCCCAGGGATGGCTTGGGACCACCAAGAGCTACGTGCCAGTTCTTGCCGTGGGTCTGTCAGCCTCTGTCATCACTGCTCCCACACCTGCCTCTTTGCTCAGTCTTGGGGCTCACGCCAGGCTGGTTTGGGGGACCTTGGTTGCACCCATTGGCACAACCAGGCTTTCCACGGCAGTGGCTGCGTGCCCACGGAGGCGAGGCTGTGCTCAGGTGTAGGGAGCAGGATCCAGCCCCAGTGCCCTTCCCACATGGCCTCGTGTGCTCAGCCTTTGTGGTCACGGTTGTGGATGGAGACCTCACTGGTGCTGCTTGTTAGTGTTTTGTTGCAGATGATCAGTGAAGGTTTAAAGCCGCATCTGCCCTGTGTTCCCCACCTCCATCTGCACCCTGAAGCCATCTCAGCCCCTCAGTGACCTAGGGAGACATGGCCTGACCTTCCCCAAGCCCCCCAGCCATGGGACCAGGCTGGGGCTCATAAAACCCCCAAAAAAGTGTGTGGTGAGACAGCAGCTCCTCAGCATGGTGTCACCCCCCAGGTCCACCTCCCTTCCACCACACCACCTGGGAACAGGGAGAGGGGTGCAGCCCTGGCTGGCGGCACAGCTCATGGTACAAGGGAGGTGAGTCTGGGTGTTGCTGGCACTGAGGGCTCGTGCTGACCTTAGCTAAATCACTCATTAAGAGCTGCTCACCCCGTTATTGTTAATTGTTATCATCCGTACCCGGGGTGGTCGGCACGGAGGGCAGGCTTATGAGAAAGAGTGCTGATGGATTTATCTGGAGAGGAAAAGTCACAGATAAAGGATTGCTCAAGCTTCATAGACCCGAGGGAAAAAAAAAATTATTTAAAAAAAAACAGGTCAAATCGCATTGAACTTCCTGGTGAAACAAGCCTGTTTGAGCGCTGGGCCCCAGGGACACGGGAGAGCAGGCAGCGGCCCGTGGGGAGGGGGCCGGGGAGCAATGCACCCCGGGGAAGGTGGCTGCTGACGGGGCGGCAGCTCCCCGGCTTGACAGCCCATGTCCATGGCCTTGGGGGACCAGCTCCTACCCCAGCCCTGCTCGGGCACAGCCCACTGCCTGCCTAGGCTTGCACCCAGAGCTTCTCTGGGTGCAGCACCCATGGCTGAAGGAGCCTGGCTGGGCCCAGAGCTGGGGTCAGTCAGCAGCAGGAGGTCTCCTGGGGGTCGGTGGGGTTTTAATAGCTCCAGGCTGGAGGTGCCACAACCTCCTCAGGCAGCCTGCACCAGCGTTTGACCACCCTCGCAGGAAAAAAGGTTGTCTGTTCTGTTTAAACAGAATTTCCTGTTTTTTGATTTGCACCCATCACTTCTTGTGAGCCTGGTGCCATTCTCATTGCACCCTCCCTTCGGATATTCACCTACATTGATAAGATCCCCCTGAGCCTTCTCTTCTCCAGGCAGAACAGCCCCAGCTCCCCTAGCCTCTCCTCATAGGAGAGATGCTCCAGTTTCTTCATCGTCTTTGTGGCCCTTTGCTGGACTTTCTCCAGTACATCCTTGTTTCTCCTTTACTGGGGAACCTAGGGTTGGACCCAGCACTCCAGGTGTGGTTTTACCAGTGCTGAGCAGAGGGGAAGGATCACCTCCCTTGGACCTTCTGGCAACACTTTGCCCAGTGCAGACCAGGAGATCATTTGCTTCCTTTGCCCCAAGGACACATTGCTGGCTCATGGTCAGTTTGATGTCCACCAGGACCTCCAGGCACTTTTCTGCCGAGCTGTCTTCCAGGTGGTCAACCCCCAGTATGTACTGGTGCCGACAGTTGTTCTTTCCTCATTTCCCATCATTCAGTTTCACGAGGCTCCTGTTGGTCCATTTGAAGATTAAGTGATCCTAGGGGGGTTGTTACCAAAGCTCCCCAAGAATGACGTGAAATGAACCCAAAGGGCAAGCAACCCTCACTTTGTAGCCATCACCCTGTGATGTTGAGTGGATACAAACTGGAAGACAAAATATCCCAGGAACAGTCCTTGGGGCTCCCTGAGCATCTGCACTGCTGGGCATAACGCATTGCTTTCCCTGTTGTTCTCGCTTCCTTCCCTGGCAATTCCCCACATCAGGTTTGCTGGGCTTTTGAGTGCTTCAAAGCCATGAGCTGACACATCCACCAAGTCAGGATTATTCCCCCTGCCTTCCTCTCCAATTTGCATTTATGCACGTTGAATTTAATCTGCTGTTTTATCGTCCAGCCACTTGCTAACCACGATCTCCTGCCGCAGCTCCCTCTGTGTGTCAGAGCCTTTGAGGTGCGAGGATTGCTGATCATGAGCCAAGGATTAGGATGCCAAAAAAAGCCCCGAGTGGACATCTCTGCACCCTTGCAGTCACTCAGAGCCAGCGTCTGCAGAGGGAATAGCGGGTCTCCTCCCCACAAAGCCCTGCACCAGCAGGAGCATCCTGTCCTGCCCTGGGACTTGCAGCTAAAGGCTGCAATGCCGCATGGGCATGTCCTGCTCCAGCATTGCCCGTGTGCCCCGCTCCAGCATTGCCCGTGTGCCCTGCTCCAGCACCATCAGCATGTCCTACTCCGGCACTGCCAGTGCGCCGCGGTGGGACTGCAGCATCTCCGTCCATGAATGTTAAAGGAAACAGGGCTTTATCTTATGTAATGGTGTTTAATGTTTAATGCTGTTACTTACAAGGAGGGCGATACGCACGGACAGCGCGTGCGCCAGAGGCTGCCTTTAGTTCATCTTCCTCCCCAATGAGGTGCAAGTGGCCCCTCTGATCCCTTCCTCAGGGTCTTCTCCGCTTTGAAGTCATTTGAGTGGAGGTGTCACTTCCTCTCCTCCCCTCCACCAGGCTCTCGCTCCAAGGAAGAATCCCCAAGGTGTTGGTCCAGCCACCATCAGTTCAGCTTCTTCCAGCTTGGTTTGTCCTACCCTTGCAGCCCGCTCTGAGCCATGCGTCTCCCTCATTGTCCTTGCCCACTGATGCTTCTGGCCTCAGGAGCGCTCAGCCCCAGCCAGACACCAATTTGCTGTTGGGTGGGGGTTCACCAGCCCCCCTGCAAAAGCTGGGTTTGGAGTCTGGGTGCGCTCCTTGCTCCTGGTGGCCATTTCCTAGCCCCAGGCTGCCTCCAAAAAGGGGGGGCATTTGGGCTGGGCTGCATCGGTGAGGCCGGGGGAGCAGGGTATTGCCCTAACAGCCCTTCGCCTCCTCCCCAGGACGCTGACAGACCTGCTGAAGCAGCCGGGCCATGGTCCCTCCGAGCATATGGACGGCCTCATGGGGAGCGTGCAGGTCCCGCTGGGCGAGGGGCTGGCCCGGGGGCCCCCCAGGAATGGCACAGGTAAGGTGTGGGAGCGGTGGGGAAGACCCAGCTCCCTTGGGTGAATGAAGGTGGTGGGGAGGGCACAGCCCGTGGCTGAACCTCTGCCCGTCACCCCCCCCAGACAAGCCACCCTTGAACAACGCGGTGGCCATCACCCCTTCGCTGGGGCGGCCCCACAGTCACGGCAAGCGCTTGCCAATGGCCGGCGGCCTGGCCCTGCCGGCTCCTGCCTACACCACCTACGCCACCCTGAAGGCTGGAGGTGAGTGACGCTGCTGCCGTGTGGGCCGGGATGGGGCTCCTGGCGGTGGGGGATGCGCCCTGTGGGCCCTGCAGGCGGGGGGAGGGATGGGGGCTGCAGAGGGCGCGGGTGGGACGGGCTCCCCGGTCCCCCAGGGGACAGGCTCTGCAGCTCCCCTACTGCCAGCCAATCAGCGCCCAGGATCCCACTGCCCCCCCCAGCCAATCAGTGCCCAGGATCCCACTGCACTTCCCAGCCAATCAGAGCCCATGGTCCCCCCCCATAGAGCCACTGCACTCCCCAGTCAATCAGAACCCAGCGTCCCATATAGAGCCACTGTACTCCCCAGTCAATCAGAACCCAGGATCCCCCATGGATCCACTACAGTCCCAAACCAATCAGCACCCAGGATATCGCACTGCCCAGCCAATCCAAGCTCAGGATCCCCCACAGTGACACCGCACTCCCCAGCCAATTGGTGCCCGGGATCTCCCCAAACCCTGCAGCACCCTCCACCCAATCCGTGGCCAGGATCCCCCACTGCACTCCCCAGCCAATCCATGGTCAAGATCCCCCCACTCCCCAGCCAATCCATGGCCAAGATCCCCCCACTCCCCAGCCAATCAGCACCCAGGAACCCTCCCTCAGGCCTCACAGCCTCCCAGGCCAACATCCCCCACCAGGACCCCCTATGCTGGCACTGAGGGGGCGTCCCTGTGGGGGTGACACCACACCCTGTCCCTACAGAGAGCGCCTCGGAGGACTTCTACAGGCGGTTCGGGGGGCCAGAGGTGGCTCCCGCTGGCACCCTGCCCTTCCCGTCCTCCGAGGCCCCAGCGCTGCCCGAGGGCTGCCCCCCGCCCAAGGCCAAGGGCCCTAAGCTGCCCGGGGGCTCGGTCTTCCCGGGGGGCTGGGAAGGGGGCCCCCCCCGTGGCCCCCGCCGGCCCGGCCTGTCCGCTCTGCGCACTGAGGGGCCGCCCGAGGCCTTCGTCCCTGCCACCCCACTGTATGGCCAGGGCCCCCGGCACCTCGCCACCAACAGCAAGACTGAGGTCACCGTCTGACGGCCGGCGCCATCGGGGACCGGGGCTGCCCCCTGGCCTGAGGACAGCTGAACGGCCTCCCCAGGGGGGGTGGCCCACCGGAGCAAAGCATCGTACGTTCTAATGTAAACCACGACGGCTGGCCATGGCGGGAGACACACCGTCCTTCCTCTCCTGGGGACAAGGGCTGCCAGCTGCACTTCACCATTGAGGAGGCACCATGGGCCAGGCCGTCCCTCTCATCCAGGCAACAAGTTTTGGCCGTCCTCAGCCTGGCCCATGAAGAGGTTGAGCCGAGGGGCACATTGGCAGAGCAGTGTGCTGCTGAGGGGATGAGGGGGGATGATGCTGGACAGACCACAGCCCCCAAGGATGGGGGGGGACACCCCACCTAACCCCTGTGACCAGGTAGGGGAAGAGCAATGGACTCAGAGCACTGTCCCAGCGCTGCCGGCAGAGCCCAAGCAGCCTCTTTCCCTCCTCAGCCTCCCCTTCTTCACTGCCCCAGCCTCCACCTTGTCAATAAATAATACATTAAACTGTACGGCCTCGGTATGGATTGGCTGGGGGACCCCGCGCTGCTCCCAAAAGCCCACCCTCTTCCCCACGGACAGCAGGGTGCAACACCCACTGCCGCAGAGCCCGGGGAACCCCTACAATGGGGGACATGATGGGAACACAGCTCCCAGGGCCAACTGCAAAACCCTTCAAGCAGCTACATGAAAAACCAAACAGATCTCTTCTGCCTGAAGTTTAATGGTTCTGACAGAGTTTTACCACAAACAGATCTCTTCTGCCTGAAGTTTAATGTTTCTGACAGAGTTTTACCAGGGGGTGCAGAGAAACAGAGATGGAGCAAAAGGACATTGTTCCAAGCAAGGTCAGGTAAAAGCTTTCCTCCCATATAGCCGCTCCTAAAATTGCAGGCTTCTGGCCCAGCTCTACCTTGCTTGGCTCTGCTCAAGCCATCAGCCTCTTGGGTGGCTTCCAAAGGAGCACAGAGACACCACAGTGGCTCTACCAAGGGACCATCTTTCATTGCAAGCTGTACAGCTCCATTCTCTAGGTTATCAAGACAAAGGACTGACAGCTTCCCAAAACGCTTGTGTGATTGGGCACCTCTGAAGGACATTTCAGGCTCACCTATGTTTAAGAGCAGTTCCTGGGTGGGCTGAAGAGGGCTGAGAGAAAGAGGGCAGGCGGGAGGTGGTGGTAACGTTCACCTTTATTAGGTAACAGATGCTCCCAAGCCCTGGAACAGGGTTTTCAGACAGCAGATATGTTCCCTGGGGAACCTCCCCACCACCAGTTGCACCTCATTTCACAAAGCATCCCTACTCCAAACTCCATGTGGATAAATAGACTTTCTTCACATAATCCGTAAAACAATTTCCTCCCACCCGCAAACAAACAAACAAAACAAGTTACAGTATATACACACACATATAAAAAAAGTTGTAGGGACACATGGGCAGCAAATTTATGAACAGTGTAGAAAAAAAAAACAACAGGGCAAAGATCCCTTGCCCTGAAGGGGAGAGAAGCAGTAGCAGTGCTGGGACCCTCCATGGATCACACCATCAGCCACCAGGCTTTCAGCCCAGCAGCTTCCTGCCCTCAGCCCAGCCGGTCCTCCCTGCAGCCCAGCCCCCAGGACTTGGTCCACCGTTAGTGACAAAGTGAAGCCTCAGCATCTCCAAAAAGTCTCACTTCCACTTTTACTCAAGCACAAAACTTCCCACGTGTAGGATGCCAATCTGGGGAAATGCAAAATAACTGGGAGGTTGCCACAGGTGAGGAGTTTCTGTATTTTTAGGAAAAACCCATGACCAGGAAGTCTGTGCAAAAGCAGCTTAAGAGGAGAAAGAGTAGGAAGCTGTGATCAAACCCCCAAAATAGGATCACTGATAAGCTGGGTAATTTTGGATGGGCAATCAAAACCCACCCAAACCCAAGAGCTGTTCTGCATATTTAGGATAATGGCTCAAAGCAGAAGTGGCTGCCACCACCCGAACCAGAGCATTCTCTATGCTGATCAAAGACAGGCAAGAGCAACCTCTGCCCCTCAAAGCATGAGCTCCCCTCCAATTGCACAAGCTGCTGGTGATCGGGGCTGGGGGTCCACCAACTCTTCCCCAAATAAACTGAGGGAAGGAGGGAAGCATCTTCTGGTCCCCACGCTTTTGTTTGCAGCTATGGCAAAGGGTCACTTGTGAATGGGATTTGCTGGGGCACAGGTTTCTCCTGGTCAACAGTTTCCAGCTTGTTGAAGCCAGGCACCTCTAGGACCAGCATTGCTTGCATTCAATTCCTGCAGCATGTGAAATCCCTCTCCCAGCTACCAAACGACCCTCTGTAAAGTGAGACAACAAGCCTCTATCTTTCCCCCCCCCCCATTCTGGAAGGAGCTCAAGCTCTCATGCCCCTCTGCAAAAGCTGGACACATGTAGAAGCTTCTTGCGAAACAGCCCGAGCTCTGATTTTGCAGGAGGCATCAGGCTGCATGGGCCTGACTGGGACAGGACAGGATTGGGCTGCTGCATGTATCTGTTTCTAGCTGCCGACACGGAGCACACACCAGCTATACACAGGGAGAAAGAGTGATGTCTGCCCACCATAGGCTCATCTCCACATTTGCGCTTGTGAGAGGGCAGCCGCTTTGCACTTCTTTGGAGAGATGCAACAGGAAAGGCAGAGAGAAAGAGGGCAAACCGTTCCCTCCCTGTCCCCGATCCGCCTCCCCCTCTTGGAAAGTCACAGGCGATTCAACACCTGCAAATCAAACTGCTCTGAATAGCCATGGTAACAGAGCTGGGAGGCTCACACCCTGAGCCAGTGCCTCCCAGTCCCTGCAGGAGCTCAGGAGCTGCTGAGCAGTTGGAGAAGGGGAGGAGAAACACCTGAAGAAAAGTTCTGCGACTGGGACTTGAGTGAAATAAAAAACTTGTTTCTAAAAATTGTTTTTCTGCATCAACAAAAAGGCACCAGAGAAGCATTCACCCTTCACGCAGAATGCAGGGTGCTGCAGGTCCACCTCTGCTGCCACCTGGCCCCAGATGACCGAGGACTCCCCAGCCTTCTACAAGGCTCTGCTTGTTGTAGGCTGCCCCAAACCTACCCCCCTGCCAAAAACTAGAGGCAGATCTGATCACAGGAAGGAGATGCATGAAGTGGAGAGGAAGGGAAATCTGCTGCATCGTTCCCTACATATTTGTAAAGCCACAAACACTCCTATAAAAAACCTGTATAAAAACCGTAGAGAAATTTGCTGGGCAGTACTGGCCCCAAGTGATACTCCCAGAGCACCTCTGTGAGCTGGGTCTAGGGGGCTTCAGTCTCCTGACACACAGCTCAAGGAAAGCTGGTGCCTTCCCCCCCCCTCTCTCAGGAATGTCCCCAGACCCCAGCAGCCCCGGGGAAGGGGGGTAAGGCTTGAGCAGATCCTCTGTCCTCCCCAGAGGTTTCTTTCTGCAGAGGTGTTTGGGAGAGGAACAAGGTGCCCCTGAGGACAGACTCGGGATGTGCCATTTCTCTGTGCCTGGGGCTTGTGGGCTCCTCTCCCCCAGCAGGGATGGGGGCTCCAGGTCCGGGGCAGCGCTTCCCAACAGCCCCAGGCACAGTCACAAAAACCACAACCAGACAGATTTCTGCTGCAGCGCCTGAGAACAAGCAAGGGGGCTAATAAAGCTAAACCTGGGACAAGGTAAAAAAAAACCAAACCGAAACAAAAAAACGAAACAAAACCAAAACCCTCCCCCCCTCTCCCACCCCATCCTAATCCCACCGGCACAACCCTAACCTAGCACTTTTTTTTTTTTTCTTAAGCTCAGGAAAGGAAGTCCAGGCTGACTGTCGACCAGGCTGTCTTTACAGGAGGTGACCCCATGCCGGTGTTAGGAGGCAGCAATGGCCGTGCCCCCGCTCAGCTTGACGATCATCTGCTGGCAGTCGTTGCAGGAGCGCTTGTCCCCCACCTTCTCCAAGGTGCGGGCGGCCTCAGCCAGCAGGACCGCTCGCTGGCCCGGGGAGGAGAGGAAGGAGAGGGGAAGATGGCGGCAGGCCAAGAGGATGGCCGTGGCTCGCTCCCTCTGGCCTGGCAGGGTGTCCAGTTCACCTATGCACAAAAAGGAGAGAGAGAAAGCTCACGATGAAGCTACCACCTGCATGATGAAACCCCACCATGCAGGCCCTCAACTGGCACCAGTTAGCACAGGCATCCCTGCCTGGTGTCCCCTGGCTGTGCCAAGAGTGAGGGGTACCCTGCGGAGCCCCAAGCACCTGCTTTAGGCTGGCAGAGGACAACAGTCTGAGCTGGAGTCAGGCAGGGACTGGCCATCCTATCTTCTATGGAGACAGTCCCTTCCACTCCACTTCCTAGAGCTCGTCCCAGCACCAGCACATACATCTGACCATTGCCTTCAACCCCTCAAGGGATTTTATAGCCAGCACCGTGTCTCTTTACTCCCCACCCCGTCAGGACTCCTGGCTTCTGCCTTTCCATTGACCGCTCCAAACTCCAGCCTGCCAAGCTTTATGTACGCGTGGCTGCACGAAGGCAAACATTTTCCAACCTGTTTGATGACACCTCCAGCCCAGAGCTGGCACCTCGCTTTAGCCAGCTGTTACAGAGCATCACCATGAGCTATAGGCTGATGGGAGCTCGTTATACTGAGCCTTAGACATGGGGGAAGATGCTGCAGGCTGCAGCTATGCCCCCCCACCTTGCCCAAGCGCTGCCCCTCCCAGCCCCACGAGCAGTGGGTCGCTGCTCGGGCCCCAGGGCAGACCTTGCTTGCTGCTCTGTGGTGTGCGTCGCCTCAAGCTGTGCTCCAGCAGCTGGTGGGTGCGGGTAGGGCTGGCACCAGCCATCAGGCGCACGGTGGCCTCATGGAGGAAGACCTGGAAGGGAAGGCAGGACAGGGGGTGAGAGGCGAGCTGGCTGCAGCTGAACTCACATCATCCCTCAGCCCACCACGTTTTGAGAGCAGAGTGCTGATGTCTCGACAACAACAGAGACCCACTTCCTCACTCCTCCCTCATCTTCCCACCTGTCTCTGGGGAATTTGCAGGTCAGGGCAACCATGAGGAGGGGAATAAAAAAAAAAAAAGCTTTTGAAACATAACTCCAAGTGGCCTGGAAAGGGGAGAAATGAGAGCACGGAACAGGGTGGAAAATGGGAGAGCAAACCCTAGCCTAGGTGGTCATTTCACCCCAGGCTGCTAGTGCAGCACTCTGATAACAGCACCAAACTTTGAAATCCAGAGTTTGGACAAAAGAGTTGTCCTGGTGTTGTCTAAGTATTAGACTGCACTTCCTCTACAGAGGCTTAACACTAGATAGACCAAACAGAACAGAAGGGTGGGGGGAAACCAGAGAAGAACCTGTTGCTCTACAGGTACAAAAGACATTTGACCCTGCAGCTACCTGCAGAGCGAATATGGCCAGTGAAGCCTCTCTAGAGGGACTGACCCCAGCTTAAGCCACGTTAAGGGACAGGATGCCATGGTATCTTCTTGGCAATACAGATGTTCTAGGTAGAGACT